AACTTTCAAATATTAATTTATCTTCCAACTATTACCAAACATGTAAGACTTCAGAAAAACTCAAGCAACATCCTTCCACAGACAACTATATAATTCAAAAAGGAAAATCTGCAAAATTTCAACACGTCTAGCAAATTCTTCTAAAGAATTAGTGGAACTAATGACACCACATATGTAAAAGATAAAAGAGTAAAAAAAAAAAAAAAAGCCTATTTTTCCTTCAATCTTAGATATTAAGTAAGTGGTCAAAATCTGTTCCTGGGAGTCCTAGGTTACAGATGTAAAAGATATCCACCCTAGGATGCAGCATGATACATTATTATCATCTGGATAACTTCAAGCTGAAATATCCAGCTGCAAGAATTTAGAACAATGTGCTGTAGGACCAAAGGAATTAGAAATTATAAATTCTCCTTGCTCTGCCCTAATTTGTTTATAGGTCAGACTAATTAATGCATTTTCTAGGATTAGAAAAGAAGTTTTTATGTTAGTGGTACACAAAAAAAGTACTTCTAAGCAGCTACCAGCAGTCAGTTCATATTTAAACATTAAAAGGAATTAAGAACATTTAATCATAAAATGATGTAATTGGTTCAGTCTTATTAAATCACTACTTAAAAATTCTATTTGTTTTTACCTGCTATAGAAGACATTAAGGCAAAACCAAGCTGTCCTGTAAGTCATGTAAGTACGTTACAGATAAGATGGTTTCAAGTACAGATACAAAAGCTTAACTTAAATGAAGAAACACCACTAGATTACTAGACTTGAAGAAACACAGTCAAAAGTCCACTATGACCAGCCAGAGATGAGCTGGTACTGGTCACTACTGCCAATAGAAGTAAATATGAACATTTAATGTAGCTATAATCTTCAGAAGATAATGCAATTGGGTAATGCGGTTCACCATGATTACGGTTATCAGCTTGCACAAAATTTCTTCTCTGAACCTAAAGAAAAAACAGATTTTTTAATTTTTTTTTTTTTCAGCCAAGCACCATTTAATTCCTCAGAGCTGGAAAACTTGCACTAGTAACTTCATATAAAGTTTCCATTTCATTTTCTGAACTCCTATGAGAAATTTGTATACACAATGCTTCTAACATCTTAGATTTAGTGTAATGAATGAGATAATATAAAGGGGCAGAACACTCCAGGTCAAACAAAGAAGTGTGAATGAAATTTGAAGCCAGACAAGTTCAAAGGATTGCCTAATAATAATTAAAATATCCATACACTATATACTATCTCTATATACACATACCATATAGAGATACTCTGTCTTATATTTTATAGTGCCACATATGTTTTACCTCTATAGAATCTGTTCCCACAGAAGACTTAAAATTAGTACATTTGTGCAGATGGTACCCATAATCATGGCCAAATGTACATTAATTTCTTGGAGGAGTATCCTCTAGTAAAGAGCTCAGAGATGACAACTAGACATGACAACTATGAAAATGCTTTCCTGCAAAGTAAGTCTTCTGTATGAGTGTACAATGTTCTTACTGCCAAAAGAGGCTGGCAAATTTTGCTGAAATGTAGGCCCAAGACTTTATTTAATTCAAAAGGTCAACCAAGGAAGATATCTGCATTTTCATTAATGATGTTTATCTGTAGCAAGAAAGAGCCACAGATCACATCAGGCATTTGAAAGGTCTGTTTTCACATCATTTGAACATTTACTTCTGGGAATTCAGAAAGTAGTTTGAAACTGATGAAAGTCATTAACACACTGATCTACATTAAAGCAATGTTTACAATGTGCACAGAATTTCGATTTGACACAAAAGGGTACTAGAACACACAATACAGCAACATGATAGAATAACTACTTTCTAAAGCAAACTGATTATAATTACAATAAGAGCACTTTTTTTTTTTTTCAGGGCACTTAACCTGATCAAATCAAGAAGAGTTTCAAACTGTCCCTCTTTTGTTTTAAGTGTTTTTTTTGTGTCTGACTGCCAAATTTCGAAGTTGACATCAGCCTCCAGTGCTAATATTATGTCTCCAGTGTCTGTCACAACTCTAGCAGTCTACTCAGTAATTCCAAGTAATCCATGAAAAGCACATAAAAGAGTATGGAGAAAAAAAATTCTATCATCAGGAAACTCGAAATTCTCCTCAAGGGCCATCACCTGACACTGAAGTACTGCAAAGATCTATAAATTGTAAAGGGACAAAAACCACACCATTATTCATTAACCAAGAGCAAGAAGAAAACAGCCTAAAAGTGGCCTCTTTGAAGAGCCTGAAAAGGGTCAGAATAAAAAGTCCTACATGGCTATAAACCTTCGCCATCAGTAATCTGCAATTACAGAGCTCCTCTGATCACAAGAGACTTGCAACAGCAGCTGAAACAGAGTATTTCTAAACATTACTTAGAAGTCGGTGAATGCAAATGTATGAACTGTCAGTCCTCAGAAAGCCTTAGAACGCTGCAACAAACAGCTTCAAAGGAAATAAGTTCTAGAAATTTGGCTAAGGTATTAAAAAAAACAAGCACGAGCCTTGTACTTGATTGCAAAGGGGAATGAATCACAAGTTTTCAATGCCCTTAAGACTTCTGTACACAAAATTATCACTGGACAGCATTTTTAAGTAAATAATTTAATCATCGAAGCTTCCCAGTACTGTCAGAATTATTTAGAGTTGTTTTTGAGTTTTTATTTAAATATCTGACACTTGTTCAGAAGATCAGTTACACAACTAAACCAATTACTCCTCTATGGGAAATCATAGCATGTAACCAATCTAACCTACTTTTTAGAAATTCAAAGTATATAAAGACTTATTTATATGGCAATTCCATTTTAACATACATCTGCCAAAACGCTGTCACACACAGATCCTAAGGTCTTAAACAAAGGCAAATGTACTTTTGGCAAATGTAACTGGGAGATGGGGGGTTGGCAAATAAAATCCATTACACAAAATGAAAACCCCAACCCCCACACTTCCATTACCTAAAGACAAACTCTTCAAGCATTCTTGAGAGCTTTGTTCTGGCTTAAGTTTTGAATTCAAAATTTGAGAAGGAATTGTGTGTCTATTCCTGCAGCTTCTCATTTGAGATGTATATCCATGAAAGAACATCCTAACACACCTTTCCTGCTTTCCACACAGTTTCTTGGGAAGCACAGTCAGGTGCAGGAACACAAGTACAGTTTGTATCTGTGCATAAGCCGCCTCCTCAAACTAGACGGAAACAAAAAGAACACATGCAGTAACCTACTTTTTTTACATGGGATTTCTTTTTTTCCAGGAATACTGCCTGTTAATTCTCACAAGGGCCAACTTCAACAAGTTGACCAGAGTAACCACATGTGTAATTCTGCCTATGATCAATTTCAACAGTGAACTCTGTCATTTCAGTCAGAAATAAATCTTGACGTGAAAAATGACATCCCAATGGAAAACATTATCTTGTTTGTGTACCTAGTGCACTGAAATGCAAATTTTACCAGCTGCCTCGCTCATACACCTTCCTAAACTACTACTAATACAGACATGCCTACAGATGAAGTGAGAAGAAGTTTAAGGATGAGAGAAGTGCATGTGGGGGAACAGGAAAACACATTTCATATTATATCTGAAGCATATACTCAGAAAATAGTAATCAAATCTCCAATATGAAGCTCAAATTAAAACTTTAATACTTTGCAAGTGATGTTAGAGAGGCTATGTTTTTGTGGTGAGGAGGCTTTATGATAGAGCAGCTTCAGACATATTCCCAGGCATTAAAAAAAAAACCCCAAAACTCTAATCTTCAAAAATGACATAAGAACCACCATCCAGACTGTGTATTACACCAGCATCTAAATAAACTAGATGTTCTTAATATAGAACATTGACATAAATTCCTTGGGTGAAATGACCCCACCTAACATTCTGAACTTACTGTGGCACTTCTGCTCAGATTTACAAAGAGGTGATACCACCAGAGTACAATAGAACCTAAAATATTTTCTACTAAAAATAGCAAGTTTCATGAGAACCCAGTTTTCATAAACCCTCAAATTTAGCATTCTAAATATAAATGTTTCTTGACCGAATTAGCTCTCAGAAACACTGTAAATGCCAACCTCTCATGTTATTTTTTTGTCTCCAGAACCTGCTCCAGAACTTCAGTTCATGTCAGTTCTCAATTCTCTCATGCTTATCCACCAGGATGTTTTTTCCACGCCATCCATAAACCAAGCAGAGAGCATTAACACCCTTTTAGAAAGAGGCAAGGTAGCTGAAGATTTGCCCGAAAGCTAAAGTCTTAAACACTAGCAGGGTTGTACCTATATCATTGTAGCCTACTTGGCTTGATAAACTCTAGATAAGCATCCTTAAAAACCCTACTTGTACCAGTACACTCAAAGATTCAAAGAGCAAACAACTGAGAGAAGTTAGAAGATCCAATACATAAATTCCAGCAGACAGTGAAAGCCAGAGAACACAGCTACTTAATTCAACTCCACAGGAACAAGATGGTAGTGCCCATTAAAGCGACGACAGCCTGGCTCTGTTCACTATACATGAAGCACAGAAGTCAGTTTGACTGTTCATGGGGTTCCTTCCGTAAAGGGGGGGAAAAAAAAAAAAAATGTATGAACTTCGGATCTAAGAAAACGCTGTCTTTGTAAGGTTAGGAGCCATACCGTACACGAGTCCCAAAAGAACCCCCAAAACAGAAGTGAGCAATCCAGCAGCGGGCAGGGTGGAGCAGAAGGCGGGACAATGACCTAATAGGTCTTTTCTATCTTTAGTTTCACGAGGCTCGGTGGCCAAGAGGCGCCGGGATCCCCCGCTCTGCCTCCGGCCGCGTCCCCCTGCAGCGCTCAGCGCCCCAGCCAAGTTCTCCCGAACTCGGCGCTGCCAGCAGGAATCCCGAGGTGAGGGAGCCGGCAGACAGCGAGCCCGAGGCAGCGCCGGAGGCAGAAGCAACGCTCCGAGTCATTTCTCAGCTATGAGCAACACAAGCGATCCGCGCTGCTCGCCCTTACCTTGAACACTTTACCGAAAGCACCATCGCCCAGCTCTCCTATGATTTCCCAGAACTCCTCAGGGTTCAAATCCCTCTTGACGTGCTCGTATTGTTTCTTCTTCTTCTCGCCGCCCAGCTTGAAGATCTTACGAAAGTTGAAGAAGGACATTTTGGCTGCAGCCGGGGGATGGGGCGGGCGGCGGTGCCCCCTCAGCCCGCCGGGACCACCTGGCGCGGCCGGTGATGCCGGGCGCGATTCCCACACGGAGACCAAAGTCTTGGCGTCGCCCGGGAAGCGCCGTCACCGCCGGGCGCTGCGGGGAGACAACACCCCGCGATGCCCTGTACGGGGCCGGGCTCGGCGCTGCTCTCCCCGACGGGCTTGGCGGTCCCTACACGGCCGGGCCGGTCACCATCGCGGCAGCAACAAGTGCCGGGCTCCCTCCTCGGGACGGGCGGCGGCGGAGCCGGAGGAGGGGTCACAGCTCCGCTGGAAGGGGGCAGCTGCCGCGCGCCAGGCAGCGGGGAGCGGTCACGTCCCGCCTCGCAAGACGGGGCGGATGCAGGGAGGGGCGGACTGCCCCGCTCCAAGCTCCCGGCCGGTGTCCTCGCGGAGCGGCGGCTCGGGGTGGCACA